CTGTTCTTTAAGGAACAAAACCCACATTCTTGATGCTGAATTTTCTGAATATGATATTCTTTGTGTTACTGTAACCCATCTTAATAATTCCATCTCTGACAGCGATATCTCTCTCGAAAATTTTGGTAATGTTTTTAGAAAGGATAGGACTAATAATTGTGGAGGCGGGGTACTTATTTATACTAAAAATAACATAAATATTAAACGTAGAGTTGATTTAGAATCAGATGATCTTGAACTAATATGGATTGAAGTAACCACTAATAATAAACCCATTCTTCTTGGTTGTATATACAGACCCCCTAACTCTCTCGTAGGCTTTTGGGATAGACTTGACAACAATTTTGACAGTATTGTTGATCTGCAAAAAGAAGTTGTCCTGGTAGGAGATATAAATGTTAACATGTTAAATCTTAATCCAAACTCTCATTTTCATCGACTATTATTAAAATATGGTTTTGAAAATACTGTCTCTGAACCTACCAGGATTACTCCTTTATCTTCAACATCATTTGATATCATAATAACTAATAACATAAACTTTGTAACTAACAGCACAGTCCATCCTCCTTCCTGCAGTGATCACTGTCCTGTCAGTGCTGACCTAAACTTCAAAACCTTAAAGAAACGTGCATACAAGAAAACATTACTTTACTTTAATAATACTGACTTTGACGGAGCCAATACTTATCTAAATTCAATTGACTGGGATGTTGAACTACATGGGGATATTGAAAACATGATTTGTTTTCTTTCTGACAAAATCCTATCTGCCTTAGATCAATTTGTTCCTCATAAAACTGTAACTATTAGGTCTAACGATAAAATTTGGATGACTAATGACATAAGACTGAATATAAGACAACGAAATCGTCAGCATTCTAAATCCAAATTATACAATACTCCAGCCTCCTGGAACAAATTTAGAACTATTCGGAATGAAGTAATTGTATTAATACATGAGGCCAAAGAAAAATATCTTTCAAAATTACAATCTTCTCTAATAGACAAATCCATACCCCCGAGGAAATGGTGGCGTGTTGCAAAATCTGTTATGAATCTTAAAAATAAATGTGAAATTGACTCTCCTCTGGTTATTAATGGCATACTCAAAATACATCCCGTCAACAAAGCTGAATCTTTTAACGATTATTTTTCATCAATATCTGAAACCGGAAAGAATGCTGATGATTTGCCAACCGACTGTAACCGGCCAGAGCACAGCTTCTCGACATTTGACATTACAGAACAGGACATCATTGACCAGTTTCACCAACTCAATACTAATAAACCCCAAGGCACTGATTCCATCCCTCCAAAATTTATTAAATGGGTATCTCAATCTATATTAAGACCTCTGTTACTAATCTTCAGTAAATCTATTTCCTCCGGTATTCTCCCTTCTGCATGGAAAAATGCTCATGTTACACCCGTGTACAAGTGCAAGGGTGCAAGAAGTAACCCATCTAATTATAGACCAATCTCTGTTACTCCTATTTTTAGTAAACTTCTTGAAAAAATTGTTTTTAAATATATGTTTAATTATCTCTCAAGATATAATATTGTTTCTAAGAATCAATCAGGGTTTCTACCTAAAGATTCAACTGTCTACCAATTATTAGTTATATATGATGCAATTGTAAAGCACTTGGATAAAGGTAAAGAAGCTAGAATGATATTTTGTGACATCAGCAAAGCTTTCGACAGGGTCTGGCATGATGGTTTAATTTTCAAATTAAAAAAATATGGGTTTTGCGGTAATATTTTGAAATGGTTTTCTTCGTATTTAATTGATAGGAGACAGAGGGTGGTCTTTGATGGATTTAAATCTAACTGGAAAACGTTAAAGGCGGGGGTACCACAGGGGTCAGTTTTAGGGCCATTTTTATTTTTACTGTACATAAATGATATCGGAGAAAATTTAATCTCTAATGTCAAGCTTTTCGCTGACGACACATCTTTATATGCATTGATAGAGGGAAACAGACAGGAAGCTGCTGACATACTAAATGAAGACTTACGTAAAATCTCTATCTGGGCTGATAAATGGGGTATCATCTTCAATCCGGATAAAACGGAGGCTCTACTTTTCTCAAGGCGGGTCGACTCTGAGACGTTGCATCCTAATCTATTTTTTAATAATGCAGTTATTAATAACGTTATTGATCATAAACACCTTGGTCTTATTTTCAATGGCAAAGCCAACTGGTCAACTCATATAAATTATATTTATGAAAAAGCATATAAAAGACTGAATATACTTAGAATGTTAAAATTTAAGATTGATAGAAAATCCCTTGAAACAATATATATATCATATGTTCGTCCAATCCTCGAATATGCTGATATTGTATGGGCTAACTGTTCCCAGAGAGAGTGCAACGTCTTAGAGTCAATCCAACTTGAAGCAGCACGCATTATTTCTGGTTTAAGACGAGGAACGAGCCATAACATTTTATATAGAGAGACTGGCTTTGTTAAACTTAGTAAAAGAAGACATTTACATCAAAATATTGCATTTTTTAAATTCTTTAATAACAATTGTCCATCTCATGTCTCAGACTTGATACTGCCCTTTCTTAATAACTTTGAACATTACAACTTTCGACACAATAGGTTATTTGACATTCCAGTACCAAGAACGCATTTATATAACTCTAGTTATTTTCCAAAACTGATGTCAGAATGGAACAATCCAGCCTGTCTGTTTCCCACTATGACATCTCTTGGAGCTCTGAAAAAGGAATGTTTACGTTCATCCCATATGGATGATGTTCACCCAATATGTAGTAACATTTGTAAATATCACGGTGATAGAAAAATTAACATAACATTATGTCAGTTAAGAAATTCTGCAAGTAATTTAAATTCAGATTTATTTAATGCACATCTAAATGATAGCCCTGCTTGTATATGTGGCTCCCCCTTCGAAGATCGTGATCATTTTTTCCTGCATTGTCCTTTTTATACTAACCAACGACTATTATTACTTAACTCTCTGTCAGCGATGAGTGATGCTATTCCACTCAATACCCAAACTTTTATTTATGGTTTCCAATCACGAGACGTAAATATAAATATAAATATTGTGGAGACGGTTCAGAATTACATTAGAGACACTAGACGTTTTTATTAGATTCTCTAATAACTTTGTAAAATAATCTCTTTTATAACAATTGGTATATTTGAAATATGTATTGTCAAATCAAATTCAAAGTACAAATAATCTCTTATTTTAATACTTAAAGAAACATCTGTAAAAGTAACATTTATTTGATATGTATATACTGTTATGTTTTGTAAGGAGAGGGCTTATATAGGCTATGCCTGTTGCCCAATTCCTTTTGTACATAAGATCAGTACAATAAAATATTCTGAAATAAGAAATAAAAAAATAAAAAAATAGAACTAGGCATATCATACCAATAGAACAGGGCATATCTTGCCAATAGAACTAGACATAGCTAACCGTTAGAACAAGGCATATAATGCCAATAAAACAAGGCATATCTTACCAATAGAACAAGGCATATCATACCAATAGAACAAGGCATATCTTACCAATAGAACAAGGCATATCATACCAATAGAACAAGGCATATCTTACCAATACAACAAGGTATATCTTACCAATAGANGATCAATGCGTATCTTACCAATAGAACAAGGTTTAGCTTTCAAATACACTCAACAGGGCAGCAATGGACCTGAGTTGCCCCGATACTTCAAGGGTCTTTCTTATTTGTCACAAAATATCTTTTAACTTTCCACCAACGTGTTGTTATTGTCCCTATTCCATATCCTCCCTTCCTGCGTTCAGTCTCCGAAGGAATCGTTTACATTTCTTTATATTTAACAAGGAATCAGAGATCTTGTTATCTTCACAATATCTTTAAACTTTTTCCAATCATGTTTCTAGAACAACCTCTGATCTGTTCTGCCTTCCTCAGCCTTGCAATATTCCTTCTGATGTCGTATCGCCACTGTTGTAATTCAAAGAGACGGTTTTCTTAGGTTTTCTTTCTTTCTTTTCAACTCTTAATCGCTCCTTTCAAAAAGTGCACACAATAGTTGCCATTACATCAACCCTCAAATTCAAACCTCCTTTCTGTTCCTCTGTCGCTATTCTATCCCCTCCTGAAGGCCACCAGAGCGTGTTGCCAGACGAGGAGTATCGGAAAGTCTAATATGATATGCTGCCCTATTGCAGTACAGTCTTATTTATATTAAACTTTCATGCCATTCTCTTCAATGCAAATGAATTAAATAAATGTTAACTTAGAAGCTAAGGGTGTTCTTATATGTAGCAAGGTATTAGGAAAAACGTCAACAGACACATATACAGTAACGTCCATAGCCATATATTTACATTTGCCCCCGCGCCGTCCCATTACAACAGTGTTAGAGGGCAAGTGTAATTATATAGGCTATAATTACAACTGCTCGACTATAATTACAACTGCCTGTTTCAGGTGTAGGAATATGTAAACAAACAAAATGGCCGCCTGAAATGTATTTTGAGGCAGGGCAAATGGTTTTTGTAGGAATATGTCTTAAAAAAGAAAAATATGTAAATACAAAAAATACCTGGTTGTCTGGATGTAATTATAGTCGATATAATTATAAGTGGCCTCTGGCAAATCTACCATAAAACTATGGGATTTGCCAGAGCCCACTTGTAATTATATCAACAATAATTACATCCAGACAACCAGTTATTGTTCAAATGAATGCAAATCTTCTGATCGTGTCACAGTTTATGTCAAAGAGAAATAGTTGAATAACAAGTAGACATTTTTGGTTGTTTAAGGGTTTTTTTATTGTTTAACTCCAAATCGTTTTGGTATTACTCTTCAACAACGTAACATGCAAGTTATATGAGATATAAAAACAAAGAACCGATAAGCATGCTACCAGCATATAAGTGTTGGTGACAAAGATAAGGAACGATAGAAACACATCCAGTGTCCACCTTTTGAACTGGTGTGACGTAACGACCATTCTGTGCACGCGATCACTCCCTGATCAACACTCCTAGACAAGACAGTTCCTGGTTCGCAGAAAACAATCGTGTAGTGAGAAAAGTACCATCTGTTAGGAAACATTATCGCCTGGAAGAGTCGGGACATCTTAGTATACAAAACAGCGTCAGGATGATCGGGCAAGCTACTCACACGCTCCTCGCGTTATGGCAGTTAGGTGAGTTGTTTGAAAGTCATACATGACCGCTGTCGTCAGTAGCGCCAGATAAATTTGGAATTTGACAGTTTAATATCATATGAGTAAAACGTCACAAAGAGCGATGTTTTCAAGAGGTGGTCCAACGATTATACATTTGCCACCTTGGTACATTAGTTTAATATTCCAGCAATCAGTATACTGCCAAGGAATGTTTTTTTGTGATTTTTCCTTCAAATTATTTGAGGCGTTGATATTTTCGCGTTAACAACACTGTAACATAATATGCTAATGTGTTCGAGCTGATAATGTAGTGCAAAATCAGCGAAAATTCCAATATCATTAAAAATAAACATGGTATATAAATGTGTTTTAATTGTGAGTATTATAGGCTCCAAACTATTTCCCGTTACACAGGATTCGTACTCGGCCAGTTGGATCCACAGATCGTGTCCGCCATTACCGGTGGTATCATTGACGGGACCTCGCTGCACGGTACCAGCCTAAACTCTCTGATGGACACGCTCAGTTACAGAAACGTGATCGGAATGGAGGTGGATAACTACAGTAAGTGGGCCATGACCAGTCCTATCGCCTACCCCGACAGAGGAGTGGTCACTCTTTCTCCGCGGGAGGTACATTCGGGTCAGCGAGAAGCCATGCTCGCCAGGAAAACCAGTTTAACCGCCACTGGAACACAAGGGACCGTCTCGTGGCTGATTGACAACCGCCGCGTGATCGTCATGTGGGAGGCGCCATTCAACTTCGACTTCTACTCCAATAAACTGGCTGTGGGGATAATACCATATGGAACCCATACCAGCGCCATGTTTGACGTCATGAACAAGGGGTCGGGCAACTTCACCAGAGGCGTATACGACCGGAACATACACACCATAGTGTACTGTGACGAGGATTTGTGTGTGGAGGGCACCATGGGAACAAGTCACAAGACCCAGGTCCACATACAAGTCATCCCTACAGCCATCGACAACGTGGCCAGAACCCTGGAAACGTACATTCCCGAGACTCTTGTTGGCTAGACCTATTTTAAACATTATTTACTTTATCTACATCACTCTCCTGTCTACAAGTAGCATTGCAACGATTTTTTGTGACATTGAATAACCCTCTTAACTTAAAACCTCATTATAATATTTAAGAAACTCTAATTTGATCTAACCAACAGCTTTCGACATTCAATCAACACTCTTTTTTATAGTATTACTTTTCTAGTTACCCAACAGAGACTCCCAAGTTTGATCTTCAATCCTTCCCTACCCATCCTCGATACTCCAATAGTTACGTTCGCTTTCGCTCTCTGCACCCCTGGAATATGTCGTGATAAAAATCGAAGGATCAGTGTGCGCCATCTTTTGGATGAGACAAGAAGACTAGTTTGATTCTTCGATGTACATCAAAAGAATCTCTCGGTTGCGTAACGGTAACATTGATAGGCTTTGAAGTCGGATGTCGCTCCTCTGTTATCTATCAGTCTAACGAGGGATCAGTTCCCTACCCATCCAATAAAGCTCGATATTTGACCTTCAATGTTTCCTACTCATAGAAGTCCTTTATTTGACCTTCGATACCTCCCTAACCAACAACGTCCCATGTTTGACGTTCGATACCTCCCTAACCAACAACGTCCCATGTTTGACGTTCGATACCTCCCTAACCAACAACGTCCCATGTTTGACGTTCGATACCTCCCTAACCAACAACGTCCCATATTTGACCGTCGATACCTTCCTAACCAACGTCCCATGTTTGACCTTCGATCCCTCCCTAACCAACAACGTCCCATATTTGACCTTCGATACCTTCCTAACCAACGTCCCATGTTTGACCTTCGATCCCTCCCTAACCAACAACGTCCCATGTTTGACCTTCGATACCTCCCTAACCAACGCCCCATGTTTGGCCTTCGATACCTCCCTAACCAACAACGTCCCATGTTTGAAACCAAATCGGTTCCACATTTCTACTGCACAACCAAGCACACACGTGACCTAGAATATATTTTATATTTTTATTCGTATCTACAAGACTTTCTGTTATGTAACACTGCTACAGTGTACGAGTTTCACAATTCTATACTGACCGTTTAATTTCCCAACCTTATTTTTTCTGTTGTGTAAATCTATTGGACCTAGTAGTCTTAGCATCCACACCGGTCCATTTCATCTTATTATTGTAGGTATAAAGTGTGAATAAAACTAATTGATTTCAACACATTTTACATTATTTGTCTTTTTTATACGTTTTATCTCATAAATCACGATATTTTGATTTGATGCTATTTTCATTAAGGGGGTAGGTTATTTATATGTATGCTATTTTCATTTACGGGTTAGGGTGGGGCGTCAATAATCGAATAAAACGACTAATGTGGTGTCCTTAGGAGCTGATATTGATTGAGTTTTTTCACGCTTCATGCTGTTCTGCACACAAAATGACCACTACTAAGTTGTATGACAAGCATTATAATCTTTGATGTTCTGATCTTGAACTTTCCTTTTCTTGATAATTACATTAACTCATTAAAATTTTAACCCCTGCAATTTCATGATGGGCTATTCCAACCTTTGAATTGGAAAAGTTCAAATGTGTCTTCAGGGGTGAATGAGTTAAAAAGTGAGGAATATAACATGAAACAGGTTGTAATTAACTCATAACAGGTCCATCTTCGTAAGTTCTAATGGCCGTTTTACATGTAATATCTGATTCGATACATTCATGGTGTTTGGGGAAATATAGAGTTGTATGCCCATTAGTATGGATTCCTTGTAACTACGTTCATTAGTATGGATTCC